AGCGATAATGAAGCGCCCTGCTGCCAAAGCGATTATGAAGAGTCCTGCTGCTGCAAGAATCGAGAAACGTCCGGCCATGCAGGTGGATGATGACGAGGCTGAGGACCTGGAATCTCTTCGTCTGATGCTTTATGGCCAGACTCAGAATGAGAACGACTTCCGCTTCAACAAATGGCATTCGTTGGCGCCAAAGGGTAAACGGATTTTGATCCTGGCAATCTTCAAAGTATTTGGCGCTGATGATAAGGATATTGAGGAAATGACGCATTTCAGCATGAGCCTGAAGGACTTGCAGATTCAGTGGAAGGACATTACGGACGAGTTGAAACGGAATTTCAGTGATAGTCGGATCCGCGGATATATCTCGGCGGTGGTTAGGTACCTTACGACTCCAGGTTCTTCAACTCATGTTGAATGGCTGTGCTTGGCTATCAAGGTTGCCAGTGCTGTCAGGGGAGTCACGGATCGTCTGATTGATTCAGAAGCCGAAGCAAGTTCAAGCTCTGAAACATCATTTGAGATATGACAATCTAACCCAGCAAGCCAAACAGTGTGTTCCTTGATTCCATGGCAGCACTGGTGGGATGTGGAGCCGGCGTGTTTGACAGTGAGTGTTTGAAAGTTGTGTTACCAAATTTCCGACCTGGCAGGTGCTGGTGGCTGAATTTGGACTTTTGCATCATCAGCGTCAGGAACTCAGGCTTTGCGTTTGCTGTCTGTGACGTGTGTGCCATGACATCGAGTCAGTTGTTACTGTTACTGACATTGACTCAAGGAAAAACAGTGTGTTGGGTCTGCGCTTTTTGCATTGTCACGCCATGTCGCGCCGCACTATTCTTAACCCTACCGCCACTCCGCTCGTCAAGAAGCAGAAAGATGAGAGCGGCGGCGCCAGCCGCAGTAACAAGATCCACAGTCACTGCGGGGCAGGCCCAACAGTTTTCTACATCCCAGTCGTTGAAGAGGCCTGGCTCACAATTGGGTGGGACTGACTATGTTACATGTGTTGGCCAAGTTGCTAATTGACAGTTTAAGGTGTTGAAGAAGACGGTTTTCACATTGGTGCTTTGTTGCTGGCCCAGTGCGCACTGTGCACTGTCTTGTGCTGGCAGGTGAAATATCTGTGGGGGACAAAAGATGTGAGCCCACTTTACCAGCCGGGCGCGCGCTACCACTTCTCGCTGCGCTCGGAACTGAAGGTGGCAGTGGAGAGGGGAACGTGGTACCGGATGGACAACTATCCTGAGGCCCAGTGCCTTAGCCTTACTAACTGCTGATGCATTGAAGAGTTCCTAATCCACTTCATATTCATATGTGAGTGTGACTGGGACAATGTGAGGCCGTGCTGGTGGTGATGCTGCTGCTGTTGCTGCTGCTGTTGATGATGTTATTGTTGTTATTGCTGTAGTTATTGCTGTTAGTGTTGTTATTGCTGTAATTGTTGTTATTATGTTGTTATTGTTGGTTATTTGTGATGTTGTTTGTGGTTATTGGTCTTGCTGCTGCTGCTGCTGCTGCTGCTGCTGCTGCTGCTGTTTTTGTTATAATCTTTGTCTTCTTCTTTCTTTTATTGTGCTTCTTCTTCTTCTTGTTGCTGTTGGTGGTGGTGATGGTGCACAGCTGCGAAATTACTAAAGACTGCTTGCTGGAATTGGCAAACAGGTCAACTAAAACATGGTAATGAAATCTTGCGCAGACACAGTCAGTTGTCAGCTGAGTCCGGAGATCATCTACATCAAGATGTCCGTGACGAAGCTGGGAATGACAACACTTCAACAGGACAAGATGCTAACCTGCCAGGGACAAGGCTGGTGGAGGTTTCACATGCCCATCAGCCAGATGATGTTTCTGGAAGAGGGCAACGCTGACTCACTTCTCTACGAGTGTCTACTATGCGAGACGACGGAGCGGCTCGAATGAGTGAGCCAAACACTGTGTTACAACAGTGTTGTGATTCAGTCACGGGGGGCAGATGATGACTGGCAATGATTCAGAACATTAAATTGACGTTGCTGTCAAATATTAACCTTGTCATTCACATGTCACAGCAAAACACCAAGCGCCCAGTCAGTCACGATCAACATCTGTGCCAACCAGACTGCGAATTGAATTGACACTCAGTCACTGTCACAGAGCGATTTGATTCGGAAGCGAAAAGATAAAGACTAACCTGCTGCCATTGAACTTACAGAAGCACAAGTGAGAACCATGTCATGTAACTAGGTTTTTAAAGGTCTGCAAGGAGCCCTCACTCACAGTCACGGTCAATGCTGTGTCGTGAACTAGTGGTGATTTCTGTGACCAGGTCCGCCAGATGGAGATGCTCATTTACGGTGTGCTGCCCTCAGCCAAAACTTGACATTAAAACTCAGTGTCATTAGCTTTCAGCCTTCGTCAATCTTTGTGAATTGCCATGCCTGCAGCTGTGAATGATCAGGCCAGACACTGTGTCATTCACTGTGTCCTGTCTTTGCAGCCATGTTTCATTCAGTGATTCAGGAACTCAAGGCCAAGGCACACAAATCAGCGGGGCAATTGCCACTCCGGAGCCTAGCAGCCTAGCACCTGCAAAGCAGCATCACAGGGCTTTCCGCTCTGCCGGAACGGTGGCCCTTACTCTGCCTGGGCAACAAGGCCAGACAGTGTGTTATTCTTTGCGGTACAGATATCTGGGGGCCGGCTGTCACCGAGATGCTTACATGGTGAATGATCTGAGGCACCCAGAAGATGAATTCAATAGGTTGGTGATGAAGGTGTCCAACAGCAATGATCGGTCGATGCAAGAAGACATCTGCTGCATAAATGCGGTGAGGGATCAGGCTCCGAATTTGGCGAAATTCTTTCCTGAAATGCTAGCCTATCTCCCACACATGACGTGCAGGGGGATATGGAAAGAATCGAGCCATTGCCTGCTTCTGCAAACTGCAATGGGTGATGGACAGAGTGTGGCAAGACGAGCGGCGGAGCTGACACAGCAAGAGCTCTATGTGCAAGCAGCTCTTGTCATGATGCAGGGGGGCCTGTTTTTGTTGAATGTGCAGGAGGCGGCCTTTGAAAATGCAAATGGCCAATTGATCTCGGACCTGCACCCTGCCAACATTGTGGTCACAAAGCGGCTTGAAGGTGGCAGGCATGAGTTTGGCATATGTGACACCAACGGCCTCGCTAAAACCAGACGAGGCCACCACCTGAATGCGTTTGTGTCGCAGTCAGGAGCATTTCTTCCGCACCAATATCCAGTTGGCGACGTGCGACCTCAGTTGGTCGACTGCCTTGCCAGGCCTGGCAATGTCCTGCCCAGCAGACCTTTGTTACTGGCATGCGTGGCGCATTGCTCATGATCATCAACGAAAATCGCCAGACAATGCATTGCTCCCATTGCTCGAACTCTGATTCGACTTATGTGCAAGACAACCCCATTGCAACGATCTGTGATGACCGTGATCCGTGCCGCTGTCCTTGCCACAAGTTATTGAAAGCGCTTGACTTGACGCATGGCAGAGTATTTTTTGAGCTGGCTCGCCAGCGACGTCAAGAATGAATAGTGATGATGGAAAATGGGATGGTCCAACGTTGCTGGCGCTAACGTGCGCTCATGATGACTTGCGACTCACTGATGCGACAATAAAAAGAACCGTTATTATAAAATTGAGTGACACACACTTAATGCATGTTGTATGTTCTTGCATGTGTTTGTCCTTGTTTGCATTTGTGTCATGTATGTGTGCATTGTTTTTGCACTTTTTTTGCATTTTTGTATTTTGCTGCATTTTTTGCATTTTGTTGCAGTTTTTTTTGCATTTTGTTGCATTGTTTGTATTTTTTGCATTTTTTGCACTTTTTTGCATGTTTTTACACTTTTTTGCATCTTTTTGCATTTTTTGCATCTTTTTGCACTTTTTTGCATCTTTTTGCACATTAGATGCAAAAATAAGATAATTTGAGATAATTTGAGATAAATTGAGGTAAGGTCTAAACCCCATAGATCTGGGACCCTTAATATAATCAGTGATATTCTGGGGCGCCAGGAGCTCCAGCTTCAGACGCAGCTGCAGGCGGGCCACGTGCTGCGGGACCGCTTCGTGCTGGAGCAGCGCCTTGGCTTCGAGGAGTCGAAAAGGAGTCGGTGGCTTCGGGTCTCTGGGGGAGTTTGGCGGGAGCTGAAATGAACTTGTTTCTTTCAGACATGAAGTCCCTTGGTTGTAAAAGGAATCTATCACCGGAAGCTTGCGTGTCAGAAGATTTGTGTGTTTTGCCTTGTTGGCTTTAGTCCATTTCATGACTGTACACATTTGCACTTGTTTTCCAGGGAGCGAAGAAGCAAATGGCAGGTTTGCTTGTTTGGGTGGGGTCTTTAAGCCATGTCTTTTGTTCGGGGGAGGGAGCTGCAGGGAGAGGGGGCTTAGATTTTTTAAGTTTCTATATCTTGATTTTGGTAAGGGGGTGTCTTGTTGGGCGTGTCTCTCTCTTTCTCTCTGTCTCTCTCTCTCTCTCACTTTCTCTCTCTCTGTCTCTCTCTCTTTCTTTTTCTCTCTCTCTCTCTCTCTCGCTCTTTCTCTCTCTCTCTCTCTCTTTCTCTTTCTTGTTTTTTGTTTGTGGAGTGGGTCTCGGTACAGGTGCTATGTGGGCGTCTTTGCTGGGAGTTTGTACCCTTGGATTCGGATATATATATATATATATATATATTTGGGGGGGTGTTGGCTTACATTTGCCCACAGTCCTGTTAGAATTCCCCGCATGGATGTCCTAAACTAGAGCCGGCCTCCCATTTGGTAGGTTTTATGGGCAGCACTGTTCGCTTTTTGGTTGTACCTCATGTCCCATTCAACACTTTGGGTCAACCGATCGTTGTCTTAGCCTTTGAACACCGATATCAAAACTCCATGATTTGACTCAAAGGGGGACGTTTTCCTGTCGTTCCGCTTCAAGGCCAGAAGGGTAGCCTCAGAAAACGATGAGCCACCCATATCGTAATTTCGCCCCATTTGCGTCCCAGGTATATGGGCTCCACCCCGGGCTATGAGCCAGCCAGAGAGCGGGACGGTGAAGGTTTAGCCGATATGCCTCCACCACCTTCGGGCTATAGCCCCCACGGAGCCCGGGCGCACACCCCAGGCCGGAGCTCGAGAGCTCGAGCTTGAGCCGTGCGAAGACTAGCTGAGCCATCAAAACCCCAAGGCTTTGGGATCTCATCCAGAAACATGTGCGCATATCCGCGCTTGCAATTCTTTACATGGCTCTGTGCAGACCATTTTAGTACGATGTTTCGATTTCTTCTCAGTTGATCATTTTTTCGGGTACGCTAAGAATATGTATTTTCTGTGTGGCCCAGATGTGGGCCATGCAACAAGCCTTAGGTTCATTGATCATAAGTGGTGGTGTCCCAAAATGTGTAATCCGGGGCTTCTGGAGGATAGATCCCATTTGGGATCCACTAGGCCAACCGTTTTTTGGTCAGCAAAAGTCGAGGCTTACTTTAACCCTGGAAATGGGAGAATGAAGGCACTCCAAAAGATGCCCTCACTTTGAGTGGCTGCTTTTCAGGTCTGATTTCCCCAAAAGGCCGGGGTATTCCTGGATAGTTCGAGGGGTTCTCAAAACCACTTGTGCGTTTTGTTTCCCTTTGAGTCATGAGAGCAATTTGAGGATGTCTTTCCAGAATGGACCCGGTCTTCCTCCCATGAGGTGTTTCATTTGGCAGGCCCTGGCATACCGGCAGAGCAGTTCCCAGACTCCGGAAAGCTGCACAGCTACGCAGAGGCGGGACTCCACTGCCAGGTTTTCTAGTCGGTTGCCCCTCTCTACAGATGGGGTTCGTTTCCAAGCAAAGCTGGTTGCTCAGTACTCCCTCCCCCCCAAACAAAAAAAAGAAGGCACCAACAACAACATGTGTTTGTTTTGCGCCTCTAGAACGGAATCCGCGTTTTGGGGGGGGTCGACGTCGATTCCACCAGAGAGCCGGAGGTGTCCCACCTGGGCAAGGGCTCCTTCGGCGACACCTGGAAGGCCTACGACCGGAACCTGAGGAAATACGTCGCGATAAAGATCTTCTACATGAGGCCGAATCGACACCGAACCCTTCCCTTCAACCAGCCGTCCGGGTTGCTTTAGGCTTTTAAATCCGGGTGGTTTTAGGTGTTTGAATGAATATGTCTATTTAACCCAGCGAGTCCTCCGGTTCAACAGATTGTTTTATGTTGTTTTTGTTCTTTCTTCGCGTGTGTTAGTTGGTTCAGTGGGTGTCGAGGATTCAGATTTAGCTCGTTTTTTGAGGCGAAGGGTGGCCCTTTTGGGTTGTTTTTCTAGGGAATCCATAAAAGAGAACCTGCGTGAGAACCCGCGTGAGCCTCTTTGTTTGATTATTTGATTATTTTTTAGTGGATGTAGGACCCTTATAAAAACAACTACCAACAAAGGCGTGCCTTTTTGCAATTTTCTTGGAAAATTCAACATGCGTGTGTCATAAAATAAGGGAACCCGGAACAATGGGGTTCCGGGTGGTTTCCTATTCTTGACACAGCCCGAACACTAATACCGATCCTCGCGGGAAAAAGCACCCACATGTGGGGATGCCGTTGGTTGACGCTCGGCCCCTTTTTGGCCGCTTGGTTCAAAGGGAAACCAAGAGAGAAGCAACAATCTTGCAGTCTGTGTTTACGCAGATCCACATTTTAGGATAATTTGAACGGTTCCCTTGGTTCATTGATCACCATGATGTGCGGTTCGGTCAAAATGTCCTGCGCCAATGCTTCATTTGGGACATGGGGGCACTCACTACATAACCATAAACTGGGAGACGCTCGAATTTGCCTATGTCGAGGTATTGCACATATTGAGGCTACGGTGGGGCAACCCTTTGACGGGGATCCGGATCATTTTGGACAAGTTCCCCCGCGCTATTGATCCGCTCAATCAATATGAGGCTCATGGCAGACATATCCTGTCTCTGGTCTGTTTGGGTGTCGGACCACAGGGACCTTGGCACTCAGCAATTGTCCATGTTGTTTTCGGGAGCACTGCGACGTAGGGATGACTGTTTGTCACACAATGACAATTTGGAAGTTGAAAACACCGGCTGCATATTGCCTGTCAAATGGGGGTGTCCCTTTTAGGTGAACCCCCTTTTGGTTGGTGTTAAAGGGAAGTAAACGGAACATCTCCCTGTTTTAAGACAAACCCAAATGAGGCGATCTACACAAAATGGCTGGGTTACTCTTCAAAACCACCCAGACTGGTTGTCGCGTAAAGGGCCGGGACCCAAATGCAGTGAACTCGTACCCGCGGCAAGCTCAAATCCAAGGAGCCGCAGGTCTCATGTAGCGCGGGCCGTTTGCTTTGCTTTCGGAGCTAGGCCGAGCTCGATCGGGACGAAGGCGTTTTTCTTGACCCCGGCGATTGTGCGAAAGCTGGGCGCCAAGGCACTGGAGACCAAGCAGAGTGCTGTGAGACTTTGGTTTTGACGAGTGCCGTTTCTCAATTTGGTACCCTTTGCAGGTTGGTGTAGTGGGCCATCACCTGGAAAACCGCCATGTTGGGGGGACCCCGATTTTTTACATGCCCGTTTGTTGGGCTTTCCTTTGGACCAAGGTTAGCTAACAAGTGACCATATGGCCAGGGTGCTTCAAACTCCCAACATAATGGTGGCCTTTTGGTCAAAGATCAGGCCTGTTGCTCCTCATTGGTTTGTGGCGTCCAAACGATGGGTTCGGGGGCTGAAAAGAATCGTTTCCACCGGGTCTCAAGGATTGTTTGATTGTTCTGTCGCTGGCCACCCCATGTCGCTAGTCGCGTTCCCCTTAGAGGATTCCAGGATTGAGGATCTTATAGGAACCTATGATCCAAAGTCAACTACCCAAAAGTGGCCCAAAAGGCGTTTTCGTACCCATGCAAATCATGGCCAGGTTGCGGGCGATGTGCAGGAGGCGGTGGAGGAGTGTGTGGCAGTGAAGCGTTTGATGACTTCTAGCAATGCGGCCTACTATCCGGGCTCCCACAACATGTGCCAGTGCTTCCAGGAGAGTTGGATTCGGCAAGTTGGATTCGTCGGAAAACAGGCTTAGGGAGCTTTCCCCATTGCTAGAGAAAGAGATGCCATCAAGAAAGCCAAAAGCAGACACGTGCAATCCAAACGATACCGCAAACTTAGATGAAGGATTTGGTCCCCTTGACAGTTTTCTGGACCCCGGAGAATGTTGGTGCCCCTTGGATGTTTTTTTTTCCCCCAACAGCTGAACGCTTTGGGGTCCCAGCCCAGATAGGCTCCAGGTTGGTCCGGGGCGGCCCTGAGGCAAGGTTCGTTTGACAGGGTTCCAAGGGTCAAGGGTTGCGCGAGGGTCCCACGAGGTTCTGCGAGGGGCTGGTCGGGGGCGGCTCTGAGGACCAGGGTTCCACACGCGTTCCACACGGTCCAGGGTTCCCAGCCCTTGCGGAACCTCGTCAAACCCTCGCGCAACGCTTGTGGAACCTGACCTCACGGCAGCCCATAACCCCTGTGGAACTCGCAGAACCCAGAGCCCGGCTGGCATCACCGGGCCCAGGTCAGGGCCAGATTGCACCTCGGGGCTCTCTTGCACCATCGGAGCCGGTCATTGCATCGTCGGGCCCCAATCGGCACCGTACAACTGCCCCCGCGCCCCACATTGCACGGTTGCCGTTCGGGCCCCGTCGGCCGTACCTTTTTTTGCAGTTAAGGCGGCATCTAAGCAAAGCCAGGAACGAGCTATGTTTGGTGGCTTGGATTGGTAGTTTGAACCTCCCTGGGCCGCGGGGCCCCGCTTGCGTCACCAGGCCCTGCTCAGAGCCTGCTCGCCCGATTGCACCGCGGCCCCGCTCGGGGCTCGATTGCACAGGACCCGGTGTCAACAGCGCCGGATTTGCTTGGGAATCTGCCGTAGCTCACCGCCGGTTTTGCGTAGGATGCCGCCAGGAAACTGTGTAAGGCAATGCCGGGCGATGTTGGGCCCCGACGCAAGCGGACCCCAACCGGGGCTCGACGGTGTCAGCGGGCCGTGATCGGGGCGCTGCGGTGCAATCGGGAGCACGCAGGGCTCGACCGGCAAACCAACCCAGAAACCATCCTCGCCGGTTTTGCTTAGGATGCCGCCTTCACTGTAAAGCAGGCTCTTCGATTCCACAACAGTGTTGAAGTGTTTTGGGTGAGGGGCTTACAATGCTGAAAGCTTGGCGGAAAGCTTCAGCCACGCTATTACAGTTTTGAGGCTGGCTCGAAGAGAAGACGCTAGGAAAACCAAGCGGTGCCCCTATGTTTTGCCATAAACCCAACTTTACGACAGTTGGTTGGTGAGGCCAACTTTCCAACAGCTGAAAGCGACGGGGTCTCTGCCCGGGGTCTGGGGCCGCAAGTCAAGGAGCAAATTATGGATGAGGATGCGTCGGGGATGCCCAAAAAGGGCCCCTCCTCCTTTGGTTGGGGGGGGGGGGGGGGCAGTTTGGAGGGTCTCACTTCCTGTTCTAGGGGTTCCCCATTCTCTTCATTCGTCCTTCTCCCTAACTTAGAAACCACACATTTTTGTCAGGGGATTGGCCAATTCTTGGAAGAGAAGAATGGGGAAGGCAGTAACCACTTGCAATACACCGATCCCTATTGAAAGTTCCCTCTTCCTCGGTTGCCTCCTTTATAGGCGCCCCAAAGTTTTTGATAGAGCCGATCAGACATGGTTGAAGTCAACTTCTAAACCCCGCTCTCTCCCAAGCTCGGGGTTCGAGGCCGTGTCTGCAAGAGGAGCATGTGAACGACGCCCAGCCCTCAGAGCCCATCTTCCTGGTGCTGGAGCTCTGCGGAAAGAGCCTGAGCGAGCGGCTCCGCGAAAGGCCCAACTGGGCCTGGCGCAAGCTGAGTCTCGGAAGGAGACTGAAGCAAATGAGGTTTGTTTTGGCGGTTCAAAGGCTGGCGAAGCTCCTACGGGTGTGAATTTTGATGGGTCCCGGACCCGAAATGGTGGATATGATTTGGAGGTTCGTGTCCGCCAAGGGGATTCCCTATTAAAACTCAGCCACATGGGATCCTCACTCGAGGTGCCAATCCCTGAAGAGTGAAGATTTTCACATGGGATACTCAAAAGATGCCTGTGTTGGGGGTCTCTCTTTTTTGAGGATACCCGTTTAAATCTTCATACCGCTGGGGTCACTGGCGGCATTTTGAACCCGTTCCCGCTGTTGGGTTTGTCGGTTTTTGAGTGTGTCTCCTGACGGTTTCAAAGGAGAACCAAAAGGCAACGGGCCTTTTTACGGCTCTCCAAATTTCGGGAACCACCGATGTACGGAATTGTAGCGTTCGGGTGAACGGAAACTCGTGGGGTAGTTGCCCTGGGGTTGGGCCAGTTGCGGTGGCTATTTTTTTTCAAATCGCAGGACCCCCGAAAACGATACCGATCAAGGTAGAATGCGGGTTTGTTCTTTGCAATGTCCTTGGACATCCAAGCATGTGGGGTTCATGGTACGGCCCGTATCAAGCTCTAGAACCATGCTTGTAGAATCAAACCGCGGATTTCGCGCACTGCACGGGATGTGAAACCAACATGGGCTTTGGTTTTCCGTGAGCATGGCCCCAAACAGGGATCCTCAACAATTGTTGAAGGGGACAATGTTTTTTTTGGCGGACCCCCTCCAAATTGGTGGACAAGCATCCAAATGTAACCGCACATTGTGAGCGGCTCAACGGGGCGTACCTGTAAACGAGATACGCAATCCGTTGATTTCTTTTGTAGACCTCAAAAAATCTCTTTGCAAGGGGCTTTAAAAGACACGGGACAAAGGACGGTTAGCCGGCCAAAATGGCCCTCACGGTGTCGTTGTTGTTTTCCCCCGCTGTTTTTGCAACACCAAATGAAGGTGTATTGGCTCTTTGGATGCTGTTTGCAAACAGGCATCAACTTGTTTGCTTCCATGGGAAACTAGAATCGACGGCCCCATATGTTGGACTATATTTTCCTATATCCTGTTGTTTGTGGTCTTCAACACCTGCTTTTGGTTGCCGGTTGCGTTGGTTTCTTTGCAGGGTGATGATTTAAGGGAAACATGTCAAACCAAGTTGGTGTGACCTAGAGGTGGCGTTGGGAGGGGGGTTGGGGTTTGGTTGGGAAGTGGCGGGGTTGTGCTGTGACCTAGGGTTGGGGTGTCGGACTGGACTGCCCCTTGTTCTTGTGGATAAGTCAGGCTTCGCACCTCATGCCACCCTAGACCAACTGCTCTTCGCAACACCCCAGGGATGGTGCCAATTTTGTGCTCTGTCGGGCGGATTTGAAGTACATGTCTGAAAGGAAACTTTCATTGCCTGCACCCCTGCGGATTGCGCCATGCTCAAAAGTCGTTGTGTGGGCCATAGTCCCTGAAATTACATGGATGCTTCAATTTCCCTGTTAAAAGGTCCTTGAACAACCTGCCTTGCATCCAAACACCGTGTGCCGCTTTGGTGAGCGCTGTTCCCAAATGACCACTCTCCCCCCCCCCCCTTCCCCACCCACCTAACCGCCTGCACCTCATGCCGTCTCGCCCAAGGATCATCACTCAGATCCTCCAGGGAGTGGACTTTCTGCAGGCCAACGGCCTGATCCACCACGACCTCAAGCCCGACAACGTCTGCGTCACCGACAGGAATGTAGCCACTCGGATCCCAGCAATCGCAGATCCAAAATCAACTGTCTCATTTGTTTGACTTGGGAGGATGTTCTTCCAAGCCAACTCATTTCAAGTTACTTTTTCTGGACAACAACAGCTGCAAGCTGCCTCTAGAGTTAAAATCGAGGCATGATTTTGACTGGGGAGTGTCAATGTCGTGAACTGGATTTTTGGACTCTTTACCACTTTGCGGGCGACGCTTTGGACCCCAGAACTCGCAAACTTGTTGAACCTCTTTTTTTTTTGTGGACTTACACTGACAGGTTGACCTTTGAACCATTCTTGAACCATTCTTGGGCGGTCTCCTCTAGGCGCAATATGAAACGCACTCCAAAGATGTTATATTTGTAGTATGCCCTGGGGTTAGGCCCTTTGGTCAGAAGTCCGCGGATTGGTTGTACTTGAGGAGATCCCTTTTGGAGTGGGAAAGGAAACCAACAGATAAGACAGACCCAGCTGGGGATTCGGGATGATCTTGTTTCCAGCCAGTTTTTGCGGCTAGACTTGAGCAATCCACTCAAAGTGTGTGTGTAGAAAGGCGTATGTGGGTGTGTGTGTTTTTTCAGGGGACCCGCCCCCCCCAAAAAAAAGAAGAAGGTGGTTGTTTTTGTGGTTTGCCAATAGAACCATACAAAATGCGCACCTTGAAAAAATACATACCCATATAAACCTCTACAACCGTGTTGGTAGAACCCAAACGTGGCCCCCGCCTTCACTTTTCTTGGTATTTGTTTGTTTGTTGTTTGATCAGTGTCCCGTTCATTTTGTGTGTAAAGGGGGTTGTTAGCAAAGAAAAGCTGTTTTACCATCTGGTCATTTCATGCTCGTTTAACTTACACGTCCTTGGCATTCAATGTGGGACGTGTTGTTTGTTGTTTGTTGCTGCTTGTGGTGAGCCCTCCACACAAAGAAGGATTTTCATTTGACCCTCCCACTGAGGTGGCTTTTTGCTCAGAATTTATCAGACTGGTTTGTGTGGTGTGTGTCCTGGGATATGGTATGTCAGAAGAACCATGAAGGTGTTTTGCTCCAACCAACCAACCAAAACCAACCAACCACCCAACCACCCAACCAACCACCCAACCACCCAACCAACCAACCAACCAACCAACCAACCAACCAACCAACCAACCAACCAACCAACCAACCAACCAACCAACCAACCAACCAACCAACCAACCAAGCACCAGGTGTTTGGCCTTTACTCACAACTTCTGGGCTTGAGCTCAGGTAGCTTTGGCTGCATAGCAACCAGTCAACCGGTTGGTTTTGTTTTTAGACTTCCCAGTTGAAAGGGCTGGAACTTGGGATGAGTTTGTCTTCTCAAGGTGCGCTGGGTGGATAATGGCGTGCCATTCAGACCTTTGCCGGACTTCCTATGCTTGTTCAGGCACTGACATTACTGTTGCCAATCTAAAGAAAGTTCCTCTGGGTCACGTTTCTTAGAGAAAGGGAGGGGGATGGAGGGGGTGTTGTAACCCAACTATCAAAGGCACTTCTCCCTTTTTGGGCTCGTTTCAAGTGGCCTTTGATTCTTTATGGAGATAGAAACACGAAGAGAAGTGCGGCCCACAGCCTTGCGTGACCCAGAAAGAGATTTGGAATTCTCTTTGGGCTTCACCATTCGTGAGGAACCCACCAAATCCCACCAACCTGGCTCAAGCGAGCTGTGTAAACCAGAGATTCGGACATGGGTAGGTTGTGATGTTGCTTCCCTTGAACCAAGGTGAAAACGGTACCAACTCCAAAACACGCACCCCGGTGAATTGGTTTCGCCGAGATGGACTCATGGTCTTGTGACCAAATGCCCTGTGTTGCACCCTTGGATTTCATGGCTCCATACAAAAGGTCTTTCTAGATTAACATGGAACCCAAAAAAGATGGTCCTTTTCCCAAAGGAGCCTCATCTGAAAACCGGTCAGCTTTTTGGGCTCCTTCTTCTCCAACATGGTCGTTGCACGACTTGTTGCTCGTTTTTTGGGGCGGAAGCATCGAATGCAAGGTGAAGATCATCGATTTTGGGGGTCTCCAGAATTTCTTCGGGAAGCAGAAAAGCTGCGCCCACACCCCGGCCTACGCCCCGCCGGAGGTACGGAACCGGAAGCAAATTGGGTTTCATTCTAAAGCCTGCATCCACCTTCGTAACCATGTACCAACAGTCAGTGGGTTTTCCTAAGCTCAGCTTAGGGCCTGAGCCACAAAACCGGTGCCGTTGTTTTTCTCTTTAGGGGTCATTAAAGAAAAGCTACGTGAGACATATGTATATCATAGGATATCATGTTGACCCCGGAATTTTTAAACCGCAGGCAGTTGATAAAATAGGGGTGCTCCCCCCCTTTGGGAGGGGCCCCCACCCCCATATCAAGAAATTGGTTGGTTGATTCAGCTGGGGTCAATGACGCGGAATCAGGTGTTCCGCGTGCAGAGTTCGGCCGGCCAAGTTCAGGTGTGTGATGGCTGGTGATGTTTCAAATGGAAAATATCGGGCTTTTCTCAAATCGAGGTCCCGTTTGGGGATGTTTTTGTTTTCCCCCGAGAAGGCCATAGGAAACAAACGACCTCAACTCAGTCCCTGACTTCCTGGTCCTTAGTCACTTGGGTCTGGACCATTTGTGGATGGCGCCCGCGGGGACTGTGGGACTTGGGGCCTCGGCGCCTGGCCCGGGGGGGTTCCACCTCCTGCCCGAGGTTTGCAAAAAGTGTACAAACAAAAACAAAAAAAGAAGCGCGGTTGGCGCGGGCGCCCCCATGATGTTCAAAGATTATTCGGTCCTCGGCGCTGTAAATAAAAAGGGTGCAGGTTTATTTTGGGATTTCTTTTCTTTCTTTTGTTTAGTTTATTTGTTTTTTGCCTCGGCCAGTAAAATGTCGTAGTTTACAGCATTTTCTCACGAAATTTGCGTGTTTTACAATAGCCCGTCAACATCCCCAGCATCGTTGTCAACATCCCCCGCATGTCCCACCAACATCCCCCGCATGTCCCACCAACATCCCCAGCATCACCAGCAAATCGTGGGTAGAAAATAATAGAGGTAGCGGGCGGGTTGACGTGGTCGAAAAGGTGATGATTCATACGGGGGTGCAATTCCATCACTGTAGGGAATCCAAAAAGCGGGGGGGGTTGGGGGGGCGGCAGCCCCCTCCATTCGAAGAAGACAGTTCGCACAGGTTTTCGGCCCACCATTAGCAGATGTTTTCTGGTTTTGTTCATCGGTGCGGCCAATCGCGATCCGCTGCTGTATCAAACGACAACCTAAAGTGTAATAAGAGGAAAACCATCGACAGATGTGGCAAGCGGAACGCCCCAAAGAGGTGGCGCTCTTAGGTTCTGCTCACAACTGTGACTAGTCCGTAAGATGATTCTGCAGATGATGATTCAAATAGGTGTGCAATTCAATCTCTGTACAATGTCTAAAAAGTAGCGGGGGGGGGAGGTGGTTGGGGGGGTGGGGGTTTGGGACTGGCGAAAGTTCAGGCCACGGATGCAGCGATTTCGTCGCGAGCGTTAGGGGCCCTAGCTCAGGCCACGGCTGCAGCGATTTCGTCGCGAGCGCTGGCCGAGCGCGAATGAGATTGGTGAAAACGTTGGTTCTCATGCTGGATTTAGTAATTGGACACCATAAATAGTATCTTCGGTTTATTCGTATTATGGTCTGAAACCTGAACCTTGGAAATGTCAAAATAGTAGACTGCTATTAAATGAAAAATGCACAAATGTTGAGAAAATTGAAAAAGTCCCCAGAAACCACGTTGATGCTTTGAACAATGAAAGACTTGTTGAATTTCATCCCTGCAAGTTTTAACCCTGAACCTGATTTCAACCCCCAGCCCCAGACCCCCTATTTCAACTATTTTTGGGGTGGTGTTAGGACCCGAAGCAAACTACTTGAGATTGGAAGGGGGGGGGAGTTGGTGGTGGCACGACCCCTCGATGGTGATGACGCCAAATTAGAAAAAGCAACTCGGAAATATCGGGTTTTTCTCAAATCGAGGTCCCGTTTGGGGATGGTTTCACCAAAAAGGCCATAGGAAACAAACGACCTAAACTCACTCCGTGACTTCCTTGTCCTTAGTCACTTGGGTCTGGACCATTTTAGTAACGAACCTTGGACTTTCTTTGGGCCAATCGGGGAAGTGAGTAAAGGGAAACCGGTTTTCTCCAGCTCCTCAAAGAGAACCACTGCTACGACATGCGGGGCCCGGTCTACGCCTACGACGGCTACGCCACGGGGCTTATGCTCATGGAGACCTGGGGAGAAGAAGCATAGAACATGGGGTTGGAGGGGTCTTTTTCTGGCGAACGTCTGTCAGGAGACTACATGTGGGGGTTGTCAAACCCAACAAAGACATACCCATGTACAACTGGTTTGGAGTTGGTGTACTTTTGAGTTGTAAAGTGAAACCAAAGCGAAAACCATCCGCTTTGTGGAGGTGTACTCTTTTGGATGACTAAAACCAATGAAGGTTCCCTGTCCCATTTCGGGTGGGAGGAGGCTTCAAACTTCTTGGTGGTGTCAGATCTCAAGCGATGCTCTGCAGTTCTCCTTTTAGGGACTTCCGCTTGCTTCTCCTTTTGGCTCTCTCTGTCTTGGACAGATTGATTGTGTATGTCGTTTTGAGGGCCTCCCCCCAAAATGGTGGTTTTCCTTTTGCTTGTCCATTCAACCAAAAAGAGATACCCTTGAAAATTACACGCAACATTTGTTGCTGTCCTATGCAATTCGTGTTCGCTTCGCTGTTGAGAAGCTCTTTTTCCCACATTCATTTTGTGCTCTTCGAGCTTCGATGTAGCATTTATTGATCTGATGTATTTTTTGTTGGTTTCGGCGGCGCCTGTTTCGCCAACAGCCCGAAGCTATGGGGTCTCTGCCCGAATTGGGGCTCCGGACGGGTTCCGGGCTTTGATATTTTTCGTGTGCTTTGTTCTGAGTGCTAAATAGCCCTTTGTTGCCTCAGTTTGAGAGAAGCAAGCCAGGCAGAGAAGGTTCTCGAAAAATCACGATTTGGTGTGTTTCGGTGCCTGTAGTCCCCCTTGGGGAACTAGGGAACCATTGCCAGCCTACACCCTTAATTCATGTTTTGGATCCTCCAAGAGTCGGTTTCAAATCATAAGCGGACATGCTGTGGCATCCAGTGACCCCTGCTTTTTTGCCTTGCGTTGCATCGAATGAAGAATCCCCCCACCTTTGGGTGTTGTACTCGTCTCCACCTGCCTTTTAAAGATATCATCTGAATCACCTGGTGGACGCGGTTTCTAGTTGGAAAATGAGGGCAAATGTACCAAAACGGTCTGTAATTCAAGCAAACATCATGTTCTACATCAGCGGGTAAATGTATCCTACTCGTCATTTATGGGGGATGCCTTGTTTCACGCATACTCTAATGTTGTCTCCAATTCTCCCCAGTTGCTGCCGCGAGGAGTTCATGTGCGGTACTTTGACGGGCCTTCGCCCGGGCCGCTCCCTGGCACGCGGTGAGTTTTGGGCCGAACGCATGCCGGAAAATTGACAACAGTTTGCTTTCCCACGCCTTGGGCCGAACACCTGGTTGGGGACGTGTTTGATCTCGTTTTGCCTGTTTTAAGACAGCTGCAGATTGGTTGGGGTCGTTTGTTGACGTTCTGCTTTGCTGTAGGTGTATGCTTGGCTCAATTTCACCCCTTGGTTTGCCGGCAGCAAGCGCAGGTCGGTCGACAAATACCGCGCAACCTGTGAGATCCGTTCCCCTTGAATTGAGGTGCGCTGCCCTTGTTCCTGCTTTTCCATTTCGGTTCTTCCCTTCGATGAAGGCGGCGCAAATTGTCGTGGTTCTGTTTATTGTTTCAAGGTGGCCCCAATTTGTTGTTTGCTTCCTTCTTTTTCCGGTTCTTGCCGTCAACAGAGGGGGCCAATCCCTTGTTCCTTTTCTTCCAGTATTTCGTTCGACGAAGGCGACCAAGTCCTGTGCGCTTCAAAAGGTCTTTGCTTCCATGAGGAAGCCACTGGGGTAAGGGGAAGCATTTTCAGCTACCGACGACTTCAACCAACAGTTACCCTTGCGGTCGTTGAGATCTCATCCTGTCGCTGGTTTCCAGTGATTATGAATTTGTGGAGTTTGAGGCCAGTTTCCAGTGACAGAAAGGCAAGGACTGACTTGATGTTGACATCATGGCGCTTGTCCTTCCAGGGTTTTGCCTTGTGCCTTCAGGAAGCGATGGGTCCCCGACGAAATACCCCCTTTCCCAACCCCTCCTTTTGATTCCCAACCGAGACACAACAGGAACCAACAAAGGTGCTCCGAACCGCTTCAGTCCCTACCGGTGGTTGGCCCCCTCCCTCCCCTATGCAAGACGTTTCCCTATGCCATGTCATCCCAGCCCACCCCGCCCCACACAACCAAAACCAGGCCTCGTCATTCGAGGTTCCAACCCCTGCACCTACGGCATTGTATACGGAGCCGAAGATGTGAACGCGCGTTTTGTGGCCAAGATGCTCACGCAGGCCTTCCCCCCTCCCCCAGCAAACACTCGATGATCTCAGCCGTTGTTTTTGTTTTTAGCATTTGGGTGCGTGTATTCTTTGAGGATCAGTACCCTTTTTAACAAAGATGTGAACGGAATCTTAAAGAAGCCCACCGAATTGTCTGGGGCCCAAATCACTCACAACTTCGGAAGGGGCTTCTTGCAGATGTGATTGTTCATTCCTTGGTTTTACAGGAAATATATCGAGGGCCATTTTCCTTCTTGAATACCTGGAAAAAATCCTGCACCCGCGTCGGGGACCGCCAGAGACAAGCAACAGCCAGGTTTGTACCAGCTTCTATTTGCTTAAGAAAATGGGTAATTCACCCTTGCAGGTTTTGAAGGGAATCTGTCATTACTGCACACATTTTCCGGGGGGAAGCAAATGGAAGTCATGTCCAGACGGTCTGGGAGAAGGATTTGATTGGATGGGTTTGCAACTGCCTGCCCGTTTTGTTTTGGGCGGATGAATCGGCCAGCAGGGGATGAAACCATAATGAGTTCAGGTTTCCCGAGCCCTTCACTTGAAGGGACACTCACTCAGAAAATTGGGGCCCGATGCTCAAACTCCCCAACGACAGGATCAATCCGAAGCACCCTAGTCCAGGGGACACTTTTTGGTAACTTGCGGATCCCACCAGGTTGTAGGTTTTAGTGGGGGTGTCCATTTAACCCGCAAAGTTCAGCCTGCTAAGAACGCAGTGGTAGTATGTAATATGTCAAGAATGTGAGTCGACATGGCGCGAAACTTTTCCTTTTCTGCCATGATTACCACACTGCGGAGTTGGTGGAAGTTATTGAGGAGGACAAGTGTGGACTTCAACTTGCAGCCCTGCAGCCTGGCCAAGATGCTGATTGAGCACGTGCCCGGATGGGAATGCGGAATGCCAGAAGGCACCCCGGCGATGGCGGGCTTGCTTTGAACGGAAGCGGGCTCGAAATTCCAAATGTTCCAATCAGCTTCCCCAACTCGCTGGCCAGGTTAGCAGCATGGAAGGAATGGCCAAATTTGTCAGCTGCTTCATCCGCGCATCCTGAAGGCCGCATCCTGATAGGAAGCGGTCTGGAAACCACAGGACAGGGAGCTGCAATCCAACAAGAGAACTGCTGGGCCTCAAGGAATGTGACCACGTGCGCGAGAGGGCTGGCCTAAGTCTGCAACAAAGCGCGGGGCTGCGGCCACGCCACCAGCGCCCCCTTCTCGTTGCCCAGGCCGCCAGCACGAACCTGGCAGCCCCCATGCCCCGAAGCATGGCGGCTGTGCCGCATGAGCATGCGGCGGCAAGAAGATGCTGCGCCCACAGGTGACGCAACGCGTAGAGGTTGAACCCCGCCATCGGGAGCCCCACGCCAGACGCCGCAGCATCGGAGTTCACGTGGACCCTTAAAACGAGCTCGTTGTCGGCTGTCCTGGCTGTAGCCAGCGAAGGGCCTGGACACAGTCCAGCACCGTGGGCATTTGCCCCGTCGCTTTCCAGCTCCACAAGAATGGGCACCACAGACCCAAAAAAGGTTTTGAGCGGAGCTGGAAAGGCGTGACCTCACCTCGCACTTTCTTCTGCTTGGCTGAGTCTCCACCAAAATCCAGTTTTCAGCGTTTTCTGCCCTTTTGAGGTTTCAAGTACAGGGGCCAAAAGGGCCGGCGATACACCTCGTAGGTCCTCCAAGTGGATCGATCTACTCCGATGCAAGAGGTAGAAAAACGTAAAAAGGCAAATGACCACAAGTGATATGTATGGTCCTTATAGGATCAAATAGTGCCAAAATCGACAATCTGAAAAGCGATGGCCCTTTTTCCTACAAGTATGTGACACAAGCACAGAATCAAACAAGAAACCAAACAGGCACAAATGTCTTTCCACTCATGGCATCTCAGATTCGAAGAACACAGCCCTTGAGCGATTTTATCACTCGGCTCTTGGGCCTGGAGTATAGCAGCACATTGGAATACTGCACAGTAGCCCTTTAATTATTGTGTTCCGAAAACATCTGTCGAATCTCCTGATATGTGCACGGCATACACAGAAAAGACAGTGACTATACCAAGAAGCATGGTGAGAAATTCCGGTGAGCCGGAGCGAACAGACATGAAAGGTCATTTGCCATTATGATGACATCGTCGCACCAATGTTGGTTAGTCCCCAGCTGGAGTATCCGCATTCTCTCTCCTTCTCTGTCTTCCATTTCAACGCTGCCTCGGAGATGTTGCTGTTCTCATGCATGACATCGATATTCACGAGGGGCGGATGGTGCCAATCTGAATCCCTTGACCCGATGAAGAGCTGATCATTGGTCAGGAGTTTGTATGTTTGGCCTGAGCTCAGGGATTATGTCCCATAATGCCTGCTCGTCTTGGCCCAATGGAAACACGGGTTACCAAGCAGTATGGATCCTCCCTGAGACTCCGAACAGCTCTGCTTTGGAGCTGCCAGCTCCGAAATGGCAATGGCAGCTCCAAAGCAGAGTTTCTAAAATTATACTTCCAAAATGGAGCTGGCAGCTCCACAATGGAGCTGCTTGAAAACATCAAAATGGAGCCTTGTTTTGCTTCAAGGAGTTTTTTTCTGTATGCTCATTTTTCTTGTTGTGTTGCCTCCTTACGTTTCTTGCCGATTAGCTGTTGTGTCGTGGAAGCCTTGAAGGACCTCTGTCTCTCTGTGTGCAGTGTGAGAATCGCTCGGTCGTCATCGTTGAGGCCGTGGCACACTGTCTCAATGTCGTACTCGTTGTGTTGTAGCGCGCGCGCGAAGAACGAGAGGTTGTTATAGACCTCAGCTCCGTCATGACAGGTGTTCTTCCACATGTTGGTACGCATCCACCTTTCAGGACAATGCTTCAGAACAAGGCATTCCTGGTGAACGGTCGGCCTACAATACCTATATTCGTCCTTACGTTTGCACTTCCCTAGCAGAGAAGATTTCATCTGAGGTGACTCAAGAAATTTGTGTCTGCTCCCGCAGCCATGTATTTTTAAGTGAGCTTGACCTTCTTGAGCTACAACCCTTTGCGATGTGGCGCAACCTCGGAAGCCTACGGGCACAGTGTGCTAGACCTCCAGTTTCTGAAGGGAAACCAGCTTATCCTAAGAAGCCGAAAACAGATAAAGGTACCGAGGAAGAGCAGCATGAAGATCCTATCAAACTGAGAGATAGAGAATCCGATCTTGAGGATGACGAACAAGAAGAACCTCAAGATTCTATATCCATGGTTTGCAATTCTTCAGGGTCTGGGAGCACGTCGGAGACCAGTTCGATGATCTCAAGAATTTTGCACGATATAACAGGAACATCAACGACATCATGCTGTGCTTGAGAGATTCACCATTGATCCGACCTTGCATGGTGCAGCGGCGGCAGGAGAACCATTTCCCAAGCCCGCCCTTTGGACCCCCAGTCCGAGTTTCACTTCAGACTGCACGGAAGCACGGATAAAAGTTTTGCCTTGCAGCTTCACCAGGACCTGGCCAACTCGTTGCGGCAGCCTCTCTTGAGCCAAAGCAGCATACTTCAGAAAGCTGGAGTGCAAATCCTGGCTAGACAACGAAGTCGGCACCAGGAAACTCCAGGCAAGAAACTTGGTAACCGGAAGATGGGTCTGACAAGGAAGGCAACTTCCTCAAGACCAAACCACGTTGGGTGCTAGAGGGCTTCAAGATCGCCAAAAGAATGAAGGACAAACGGACAGCCCAGCAGCTTCAAGCAGTGGATGCAGATCAGCCGTTCGGGTCGGGCCTCCAGTTCAGGTAGCGGCAAACAAAAGGTGGAACATGTTCCACATAGACACTTTGGACATAATCTACCAAAGTCCATCAAAAATTAGTTGACCATGTATAGGAGCCCGTATGAAGAAACCTGCGTACGGACTTGAGTCAGCACTAAGAGGAACTAATGCATTCAACTTGAAAGGCGCCAGTGATCCAGTCTCTGGCAACAATGCCCAACATAGACAGGTCCACGGTGTCATGTCCTTTGCATGTAGATGATCTTGTTCATGGCAGGTGATACTTTTGAGGAACAGATCATGGCCAAGATCCGTAAGGATTTCCAGGTAGCCAAATCCACAGCACGGAGATCACATCAATGTTCACCAGATTGTAAGATTCACTTCCAGAAACACCTAGAGGACGATGTGCGCCTGAATCCAGCTATTTAGTCTAGAACCCGCTTTCACATTGGTTATAAATTTTCAAGATGTGCATCAAAGGCCTCATCTCCCATTATTGGTGATGTGAGAGCCATAAACAAGACTGTCAGAACCATTAAGACAATTCCTCTTAGTATGAGATTCTGGCCTCTTAAGGGCAGAACCAGATTAGTTGGATACCCTGATTCATCCTATAGGAACAACGATGACAAATCATCGCAGCGTGCACATGTGGTTTCTCTTGCGCAAGATCGGAATCTTCATAAAGATTCTCCAAATTCTATAGGATCCCTCCTTGGTTATGAGACTCATAAGATAGCGGCAACTACCATGTCACCACTGTGGTGGAGTTGCACGGATTGATGCGTTGCTTTCGTGTGTTTTCATACGAGGGCTTTGGTCAGACATATCTGGCGAGCTTGCAGGTGTCCATATTCGCACTGGTGCAAACAATTTAGTAACCACTGGCATCAACAACCCATCAAGCTGAACAGAAAGAAACCATGCGCCTTATCAAAATGCTCCAAAAGGAGCGCCCATGCACATTCAGAAAATTGTCTTGCAGGTTGTTTCACGCAGAGCTCTGGGTCTGTCCTCAATATCCCTTGGAACAGTGATCCAGTGTTGCTGCACACCTTCTGGTCATGAGTGAACTGTGTCCAGAAGTGCCACTTCTGCGTCTTTGTCGGTGTACTGACGGGTTCTTTGAGAATCAGAGCTTTTTCGTGGTTCTTCCTGATTTTTCAGGAGTTCCTCAGAGGATTCTTCCTCCTTTCCAGGATCATTTTGTTCCGCCAGTGAAGGTGGAATGTTTGGTGAAGGGACCTTGCAAGGGGA